GGAGGACGAGGAGGAAGCAACTGACATAAAATCTAACAACCCTCACCTGGCAGGTGGGGAATAACACGAAATCCTATTGGCACGAGGACATCCAATATCAACAAAAACGTCCCATGAATCAAAAAACACACGGCCATCTAAAGGCCGTGCTCCTATTTTGAATTATACCTTGGCTGACTACTATCTACTCACTAAGAGTGGATCAGGGAAGGCTATTTGGGGTCCAATACTGAACATGCGTGCCATGGTAAAACTTGGGTTTTACACTCATATTGGACCATAACAGGGACTCATATGGAGTCATACAAGACACCCTTTGTAAGGATTCCCATTGTAAGGATTCCCATTATGGGATGGACTTTGACCATGGCACATGTGATGGTCCGCTTTTGGCTTCAAAACATTGGTTGGTGGTAACCGCTAATTTAAAGAAGGTGATAGACCCAGTCTGGATTTGATAATTTTGATGTTTCAAATGAATAGGATTTGATGGTAACATGTTATGTAATATATATATATATATGGTAACAACATGTTATGTAATATATATATATATATATATATATATATGTTATATTATATATTATATATATATTATACATATGATATATGAGTTTGTCTGAAAATGGATGATGACCCCAATTGGCCATTTCAATAGGGACAATTCGGCACATGATAAACCATAGGTCTTAATGTCTTGTGCTTTCGAAACATAGACAAACCCATATATATATATATATATTATAGATATTATAGTGTTGTTTTGAGTTGCATATCCATACGGTAACAACATTTAAACAAGTGGAGGGCGGGCCACACTACAATGCACCGGAGGCAGTATGAAACACCAGTTCCATCCGTATATTTAAATGTACAGTTTAAAAAATAATAGTCCGTATGTTTAAATGGCCAGATGGGCCAAGGGAAACCTTCCTGGAGGTAGTCTCAAATACCAGTTCACATATTCAAAAATCCGTTTAAATCTGTTCATATCTAGATGTAGTTACCATACATATAAGGCCTGTCATCTCCTAATTTTTTGTTGCTTATATATATATACACAGTATATATATATATATATATATATACACAGTGTATATATATATGTAATTATATATATGTATGTATATATATATATATATATATATATCCGCAAAGATTCAGCCCCAAAATCTGCCCAGGTGGCCATCAAGAAACTGCATGTCATGGGCGGCGTGACCAAGGTACGCTGGTTTTTTGGGTGGTTTTTGCTGGTGATTTAACCACTAAAAATGGTGGCTTAACCAACAACCATGGTGATTTAATGGGATTTGATTGGATTTAATGGGAAAATATGGGATTTCTATTGGATTTAATGGTATTTCTAATGATTTAATGGAGATGAATGGTCTTGAATCGTGTTTTTTTCAAGATATGGGGAAGTCATCTACAAATGGAGTTTAAAAAATGGGATATGGGGACAAATCATGATATATCATGATGAATCTAATAATCACATCCCCCTATAGAATACACCGGACAGAATCCTTGGTTTCGAACGGGGATTTGCACATCTTTCAGACAGTGGGGGATGGTTTTTTTTCTGTCAGCCTAACGTAGTTCAAACATAGTCCAGTTTTGCTGAGGATTATCTGAACACGTCCATACTCTATGTTCGCCAAGATAGCTATATAGCTATATATATGGACGTGTCTGAAAATGGAGTGCTGTTCAAATTCTCACGGCCGATCATTATGTTTTTTCTGATTCAAATTGCCATTCTGAGGTATCCTCTAGTTTTGGACAAGTCCAATGTATATAATATTATATAATTATATCTAGTAAACACGAAACAAACCCGAACATGTTTGGTAAATCTTGCAATGTTTTAGCGGATAATTTGAGTATCAAGGTGGCTAGAGCATCGATGCAAAGGAAATTGGTGATCGGGGAATCATACCTGAATCCGCCACTTAGAGTATAACTTCAGGATGCAACGCATCTCTTTCATGCAACTGTGGGGTTGTCCAAGTTGGTCTTCTATCAGTATACACTCCTGTGTGCATCCCCACATTGGAACAACTTTCTTGTGGCATCCACATGCATCCACACATGGCGCTATTCCAAACCCAATCTCCAGTGGACCCAATTTGTGCCAATCTCCCCCTTTCGCAGGAGCATGTGGCGGAATTTTACAAGGAGGTTGCGAACCTCCAGGCTTTGAGGCCAAACTGAGGGATCAACTCATCAAAGAACTAGAACATCTAGAACACAGTTTTCGGGACGACACCACTAGTTTTTTTTGTCTGGAGTCAGTTTATTGACCCATGTTTGCAATCCAGAGCGTCCTTTGGGCCTCTCTATAGAGATCATTAGAGATCCATGACCATACATGTTTCCTTCAAAACTCAAACGAAGACAACACCCAGCTGAACTTGTTCATTTTTGCTGTGGATATCTAAGATAAGCCCAATGATCATCCCTGATTATATTGCCCGTGTTTTGGTTTGAAGAGTTGGTTTCTCGTTTTTGGTTACAATAATTAATATACATTTATAATATATTATAATGATACTTAATTCCGGAAATCATGTGGTTGTGATTGGAATTAAAGACACGTTTGGTTTGTTTTTTCTGTATTTTGAACATACCCTTTGGTATATTATAAGGGTACCACATGATGTGATCATGTTGTCAAATCCCAGGTTTTCATCAACGAAACGTGGGAGAAACGCTACAACGCGTAGCCGGCGTAGCCGCTCGAGGCACGAGCGTTTGATCCAACTCATCGGCATCGCGTGCGAGATGCCGCTTCTGTGCATCGTCACGGAGGCGGCAAGGGGAGTTTTCTGGGAATTTTCCATGGGAAATTCATGGGATAAATAAATGGAATTAAATTGTATACTTAAGAGTTTAATTATCCATGTTTACCTTTTTTTTTAACAATACGTATGCGTTATTTATGTGCATTTGACTTGGTTACAACGGTTATATACATCTTGGTTTTATATTCGTGGTTGACGAATAAGTTGTGTTGCCGTGTTTGATGATTGAAACATGTCAAACGTGTTTCATGTGATTTCGAAATATTCCAAGCTCCATGTTCATGATTGTTCATGTTTCCTTGATTCAGTAGCTTCCACCCAACTACCTCCCTTTCCCTTGGGCCCTTGGGCCATCTTGGGCCCCTGCGATGGAGCCCCCGTGCAGTTGGCCGCGGGCGGATCGCTTCACGACTTACTTCACGTGAAGCGGGTGATGCTCCAGGAGGCGAACGAGGGTTCGGTTCGGGTCGAGGGGATGATCCATTGACTCCATTGACGTTTGGAGATGAATCCATATAATTCATTATTGTAGTCAATCACTATAATGGAGATAGTAGTCAGTTTTAATGATCATTATAGTTAACTACACAATGATCATGTTTATTATACTATACACATGTATGTTTAGTTTTAATGAATCCATGGTGCTATAGCCATTTAATAGTTAGGGATGATGATATTTGATACAATACAATATATTTTTTTAAACCCGAGAATCCACCAATATGCACATGACCATGACATAGTTGTTAACGAGTGGTTGTAACAAGACAACATCATAACATCTCCAGTTTGTTTTTGACAGTACAAACTCTAAAGTTCTCAACCATCTTAATATCTAGAGTCTTAGAAGCTTTCATCCTGGTCATCATCCATTCACCAACAATTTCTTCTGGATGATTCAGCTCACGACCCCTCGCAACCTGACTGACCTACAAAAATAATGGATATAATGGTTACATGAATTATCCCTTAAAGGCCCTTAAACAGATGTGTTTTTTTGGATAGACGAAAGTAATGGCGACAGCCCGGGCAGAAGCAAAAATGAGAATCACAACTGCGAACAACTGGCTGCGAGCGTGGACCCAAGAACTATTAAGATCCAATATGATCCAACATGATCCAATAATATGATCCAATGATATCCAATGATTATGAGTGGTGATTGACTTATTGACCAACGATATTCCACCAACCATTTAGATCTCATTGGGATTGTTCGATCTCCAACGGGAAATATGATGATCATCCCCTCCCCCATCCCTTGGGCCCTTGGGGTTACCATGGACTCAACCTCGGAGGCCCAAAAGCTTCGCTTGATTCTGCAGATGACTGAGGGCGTCATGCCGGATGGCCCCAGATTTTTTTTTGTTTTGGCAGCACAAGGGGTCCCCCAGGGGTCCTGTGAACATTTTGAATCCAAAAAACACTGAAGATTCTAAGATTCACTCAGCAAGTCATGAAACACATTTTAAAACCGTGATGGATCCACGAGAATGAACCACTGAAATTGGGCGATTTTACCTGTTTGTTTCCATGTTTTCTTCTATCTTTTTGGGGGTTAGAGACAACTTCCTGGTCCTCTTTGGGATGATCCAACATTGTTTGGACCCGCCCGGGGAGCGACATAGAATTAACCATATTATATAGTGATAAAATCTAGTGATAGCTGTAGAATTAACATTGGATTAACATTAAGAATTAACAATATCAAATATAATTGATATTATCAAGCAAGTGTGTGGCCATCGCGTTGAAATTGCTCTCACATTCAGGCTTTGCTCTATAAGCCTTAGGGCTCCCGATGTGCCACACAAACCTAACTCACCAATAGTGAGTGTCTATAACAAGCCCAAGGCTTTCACCTTTAGTGTTGAATATGAATATCCTCCCGACCAAACCCAAGCCAAGTATTTGTAGAACAACTGTGATGAACACGAGGCCCACGAATTTATTGTCAACAGAGGGTAATTCTACTCCTTTCATTTCCGAACCACAGAGATTGAAATTCGTTGGTGGTTGGTTGTTTCATGTGTATTCCTCTATGATTAAACCATGTGTTCAATTAATGATGAACCAGTCATTAAGATTCTGTTTCCTGTTGTTTGTTGCTTGATTTAAGCTTTAATTGCCGATAATTGCCGTATGTTCAGATATTTTTTTGAATATGAATAAACTGGCGAGGCTCCTGCGCACCAGGTTTCTACATGGCCAGCGACCTCCGTCCTCCCGACATGGCCATGGCCTTTTTTGGCCCGACATGTGCACGGGAGAATGCCCCAAGACTCCCATGATTGATGATTATCTGGGGTTACACCATTCACATCTGTTCACATCTATAAACATATATATATATATACACACGTGATATGACAATAACATTAACAACCATATTAATCATGATAATAGTAATAAAAATCATACACATATATATTATATATATTGATATATTGTATTTTATAATAATACATCCTATATAGTAATAATATATTATACAGTATATTACAAATATATAATGTAATGTAATTATAAATAATATATAATGTACATACATGGGAAAAATTACAATCCAGGAATTGGAAAATACGTTCATAACCAGTGCATATAAAGGGACGGCATTTCGGATTCAGACAACACACACACACGGATGCTTTGACAAGGACGGATACATGTACCTCGCTGCCGCACAGAAACTCTCCACTAGTGAGTAGACATTTTTTTGTATAGTTCACCGTTTGTACGAATCGCTCCAGAATATGAATTCACCAATCAATTCATCAATATTGGACATACTTAACTTGAAAGTCAATCAACATTTATCCGGATTATACTCTGTATATTGGATATAAAAAGAAATCAACATGTTCATAGTAACTGTCTCGGATATCTGGATTTACTCCGCAACTCTGCGAAAAAAAACACCCAAAATTCTGTGCAGCCAGGTTCGTCCATCGGGATTTGAAGAGCGCCAATGCTGCTTGGATGACTGCGGGCTCTGCAGAGATACGGGGGGTGTCTCCAACTCAAATAGCTATGGAAAATGGATCAAAAAACGGCTCATTTATAGAGGACCTATTAAAACATGGTGATTTTCAACAGCTATATATGTTAGTAAAAACGGGGGGATACTGTACTCATTTCGATCTTACCCGATATTTAAAGGTTTAAAGTCAAAGTACCCAACCTATGAGCTTTGGAATAGACAAGATCACTGGAGTTCCCCGGGGCTTTTGTAATATGGTACAGTAGTCCCATGGGAACGGACCCTTCCAATTCCAATGGGAACTCAACCAGCAGCACATTCCCACAGACATGCCATCCAGCCATTTGATTTGAGCACCCCTGAGTCGGCGAATTCTGGCGATGGCTCATGTTCCCCTGCTTGAAATGGGGTGACCAGATCAAAGGTATGAACATGACAAAATAGACACATATAGACAACAAAATATACCATTTGGTTATTTAACATTGCCATAAGCCATAAAAAAAAAAAACATCATTTTTAATAGGTAAACCATCTATTCAATGGGCCATCTATACCATGGCTATGTAACAAATAACCAGAGGGTACATAAAAAAAATAGCCTTGACCACCTCAAAACTTGGATGAGTCGATCTGAAATCTGCACCACGTCTCCGCGCAAAGGTCGTGCTGGATGCGGAGCTCAATGCGAAGCTTTGCGATTTGGGCATCACTGAGTTGGGACCCCATAGCCAGACGACGTCCTGTAAAGAACTGGGTGGATTAATAGAAGGCTACCTCCATGAAAAGCCAACCAATAAGTAGATAATGATAGATAATTCATGATTATTTGCCCAACTGGCCCCAGTATGTTTCCTAGCGCAAAAGGGTGATGTTTGTTTCTTGCACATCTCATTTGGTTGGTGTTTTTTTTCCTTCATGCTGTCGACAGTGAACGGACCCAGCAATTCCAGGCGCATGGAAAGGACCCACATCAGCAAGCGAGACGCGGAAGCGGGATCGCCCAGGCTCCGATGGGTTCACCATGTTAAGATGGGATGATGCTCAGTGTCTCCCATGAAGGCCAAATCCGATCATGGTTAAGATGTTAAAACATGTTAACACCCATAGCACTTAGTTAGGATCATCAAAAACAAACTGAGGTATTTGAGTCTTCTTGAAACTCATGATTCTATGAAGGTCCCAGGGTTCATTGGCAGGTATATGTCGCCTGAGTTGTTCCACGCCCCTGGCAAGCTTACTGAAAAGATGGACCTTTGGGCATTGGGCTGCCTGGCTGTCGAGGCGTCAAACCGGGGAAGGAGGGAAACCGCTGGGAGGAGAAAACGCCGAAAACACACGATATGGAAAACTTATATAATTTAAACAAATACGAAGATGAAAGAAGATGTATTGAAATTGACAACTACTTGTTGATCCAATGTGGAGACCTTTTTCCAAGCTCACTATCAAGTTCCAGCCAGCAAAACTGGCTTCAGCTTGGAATGTGTTTGGTGATTCGCCGGTTGTCGGCTGAGAGATCGCTAGGTGCTGACCACGCGAGTGCCTCATGAAGGATGCATCAACGTGCAACAGGTAGCGGAGTGATGGAAATTGGAGTGGGGTAACTATATGCCCAAATGGCCTTGTCAGTTCAGTGAATTAGTTAATGTTTCCAGATCCATTATTGCGTACTATATATGGGGATTTCTTGAAATGGGGAATCCCCAAGTCACCATGGGTTTCAATACGAAAATATCCCTTAAATGATTGCGGTACCTTTATTTTAGCAAACCTTCATATATATATATATATACATACAGTATTATATATGTATATACATAATACATAATTATATATATACACATAATTATATATACACATGCATAATTATTATATACATGTATATATACATAATTATATATACACATGCATAATTATTATATACATGTATATATACATAATTATATGTACACATGCATAATTATTATATACATGTATATATACATAATTATATATATATATATATATTGTGTAGATATGTCATTCTCCCTTTCGTTGGTGGACTGCTGGGTCCTAATGACAAGACTTAAAGGCTGGACAGTCATGCAATGGCAATAAATTGCAAGTATATAATTCAAATTTCTCATGATGCATGAGCAAGCGTCCATGCAGTTGAAGAGATATGAAGACATACCCTCTGGTAAACTAACGTAACTATGGAAAATCACCATGTTTAATGGATAAATCCACTATAAATGGCTATTTTCAATAGCTATGTTAAATTACCAGAGGGTACATATTTGATCATACTTTAACATCATCCAAAAGCGTCATGTTCCAGGTATAGTTGAGACTTCAGAGGGCTGTTGATCCACCTTGAAAAAACCTGGCAAGCAAATGTGTCGTCACTAAAATCACTTGCTCAAGAAAGGACACAGTCATGTGTTTAATATAGCAATCTCATTACATATATGTATAATGTAATATATATATATATTATATATATGTACATACATTTGTATATACACATCTCAGTGGGGTTGGTTGAATTGCGGCGACATGCTGGAAGACTCCGAAGTATTCTCTCGGAAGGTAGCGACCAAGCTGCTGGTGACCAAAGAGCCACCCTTCACGGCAGGCTGACCCAGATTCAGCTTTGTCATGGCTGGTCCAAATTTGGATTTCATTATAACATCATATAACAATTCGGGATTATATTACATATATATATATATATATTGTAATTTAATCATCACCACTTTGATATGATCATATATTCATAGATTAGAATTCTTTTCGAAAAATAGATATGCCTTCTGGAGTATCATGGGATCCAACAGTGATGACAAACCAATTGATGGCCATAGACGGCCGGGGAACATGGTGCGGATGATCATTTCCCACAATTTAAGACAAACCTATGATCATTTACTATTGGGTACAGACCATAGGTATACCATGATCATGGATTTGGGGTCAAATTTTAAGACAAAGCCACATAGGCATAGGCCATGTTTAGTCTTGGAAGCCGGGGAGTTCACTTGTCAAGTTGGGATTGGTCAGAAAATGCATACAGCAATATACAGCAAATTTGCATTTTTCCTTTTTTGGGATGTTGATGATACTCCGATTTGAGGGCACCTCATTCTGAGACAAACCCCAATAAATCGATTGGTGGGGGCTTCGATGATTCCAGCTGACTAATGTCGGGCTGATCCTTCAACTTGAATAGATCATGTTTTTGCATGTCTTTGTTGAGGGATGGAAACACATCAGCTGTATAATCTTCTATAATCATCTATAGTTGATATGGGTATTCTTATTAAGGGTACCCAAAAAAAATCTCCTATACCCTCTGGTTATTTAACATAGCCATGGAAAATCACCATTTTTAATAGGTAAACCATCTATAAATTGGCCATTTTCCACGGCTATGTTAAATAACCAGATGGTAATTAATATGAGTGTTCCTATTAAGGGTACCCGAAAGGTCATCGAGGCTTGAAAGCCGCAGCTGAAAATTTGGACCCTGCATCCAGCTGGATTGCTGCACCGTTTGGAGGAATACCCAGTTCCTGCTGTAAAGGAAGACACTGCTCAACAATACAACTTAATTCAAAAACCTGATCGTCCAATGCTATACTACAATATACTATAGTTTGCTTAACTAAGCACAACTAAAGTATACCAAAGTATATTATATACTATTTTATATGTGTTTCACTTCTGTTTAGGTGAAAACAAGGCAACACGCGTGCTCAGTACTCGGGTGAAATCGTTCAAAATTGTGTGTCTCACTTTTGTTTACAGTGTTTTGTGTTTTCATGTTGCAATGCCAGGAAAATGCAAAAGGACAAACAAATCGTTTCTTCATCCACAGGCATGTCTCTCTAATCTTTCTTGTTGTGTCTAAAACTGGTACACATAGTCCTACAAACGCGGGTTAATGACTTTGTCATGTTTTGTTTTGAGGCTTTCAGCCACATCCAAGTCCCATCTAAGACTTGCGTCCTGGAAATTTTGGCTTTGCCTTTGACTTTGCGAGCAACCTTTAATGGGACACAATGCAAAACATCGCAATATATCGCAATGTTCATTTGATTCTTATCTGCAAAAAAACGTAGCCCAAAAGTCAAGACCATAGCATCATCAGCGTGTTGAAACTTAATACTTGAAAACATCAAGAGCGTAGCGTCAAGACCGTCTTGGACACTTACTTGAGAAAGTCAAGAGCGTAGAATCAAGAGCGTCTTGGAAACTCACTGGAAAACATCAAGAGCGTAGCATCAAGAGCGTCTTGGACACTTACTTGAGATCATCAAGAGCGCAGCATCCAGAGCGTGTTGGAAACTTGCTTGAGAAAGTCAAGAGCATTGCATCAAGAGCGTGTTGGAAAATTACTTGAGAAAGTCAAAAGAGTAGCATCCAGAGCATCTTGGAAACTTACTTGAGAAAGTCAAGAGTTTAGCATCCAGAGCATGTTGGAAACTTACTTGAGAAAGTCAAAAGCGTAGCATCAAGAGCGTCTTGGAAACTTACTTGAGATCATCAAGACCGTAGCATCCAGAGCATCTTGGAAACTTACTTGAGATCATTAAAACCGTAGCATTATCAAGACCGTAGCATCCAGAGCATGTTGGAAAATTACTTGAGAAAGTCAAAAGCGTAGCGTCAAGAGCGTCTTGGAAACTTACTTGAGATCATCAAGACCGTAGCATCAAGAGCATCTTGGAAACTTACTTGAAAACATCAAGAGCGTAGCATCCAGAGCATGTTGGAAACTTACTTGAGAAAGTCAAAAGCGTAGCATCAAGAGCGTCTTGGAAACTTACTTGAGATCATCAAGAGCGCAGCATCCAGAGCGTGTTGGAAACTTGCTTGAGAAAGTCAAGAGCATTGCATCAAGAGCGTGTTGGAAAATTACTTGAGAAAGTCAAAAGAGTAGCATCCAGAGCATCTTGGAAACTTACTTGAGAAAGTCAAGAGTTTAGCATCCAGAGCATCTTGGAAACTTACTTGAGAAAGTCAAGAGCATTGCATCCAGAGCATCCTGGAAACTTACTTGAAAACTGAAAACATCAAGAGCGTAGCATCCAGAGCGTCTTGGAAACTTGCTCAAGTCAAGAGCATTGCATCAAGAGCGTGTTGGAAAATTACTTGAGAAAGTCAAAAGCGTAGCATCAAGAGCGTCTTGGAAACTTACTTGAGATCATCAAGACCGTAGCATCAAGAGCATCTTGGAAACTTACTTGAAAACATCAAGAACGTAGCATCCAGAACATGTTGGAAACTTACTTGAGAAAGTCAAGAGCATTGCATCCAGAGCATCTTGGATACTTACTTGAAAACATCAGGAGCGTAGCATCCAGAGCATGTTGGAAACTTACTTGAAAACATCAAGAGCGTAGCATCCAGAGCATGTTGGAAACTTAATTGAGAAAGTCAAGAGCATTGCATCAAGAGCGTGTTGGAAACTTACTTGAGAAAGTCAAAAGCGTAGCATCAAGAGCGTCTGGAAACTTACTTGAAAACATCAAGAGCGTAGCATCCAGAGCATGTTGGAAACTTACTTGAAAACGCCAAGAGCATTGCATCAAGAGCGTCTTGGAAACTTACTTGAAAACATCAAGAGTGTAGCATCCACAGCATGTTGGAAACTTACTTGAGAAAGTCAAGAGCATCAAGAGCGTCTTGGAAACTTACTTGAGATCATCAAGACCGTAGCATCAAGAGCATCTTGGAAACTTATTTGAAAACATCAAGAGCGTAGCATCCAGAGCATGTTGAAAACTTACTTGAGAAAGTCAAGAGCATTGCATCAAGAGCATCTTGGAAACTTACTTGAGATCATCAAGACCGTAGCATCAAGAGCATCTTGGAAACTTACTTGAAAACATCAAGGGCGTAGCATCCAGAACATGTTGGAAACTTACTTGAGAAAGTCAAGAGCATTGCATCCAGAGCATCTTGGATACTTATTTGAAAACATCAGGAGCGTAGCATCCAGAGCATGTTGGAAACTTACTTGAGAAAGTCAAGAGCATTGCCATCAAGAGCGTCTTGTGGAAACTACTTTGAGAAAGTCAAAAGCGTTAGCACAAGCAGCATTTGCGAAACTTACTTGAAAAAACATCAGAGCGTAGCATCAGAACATGTTGGAAACTTACTGAGAAAGTCAGGAGCATTGAATCCAGAATCTTGGAACCCTTTACTTGAAACATTTCAAGAGCGTAGCATCCAGAGCATGTTGGAAACTTACTTGCGAAAGTCAAGAGCATTGCATCCAGAGCATCTTGGAAACTGACTTGAAAACATCAAGAGCGTAGCATCCAGAGCATCTTGGAAACCTACTTGAGAAAGTCAAGAGCATTGCATCAAGAGCATCTTGGAAACTTACTTGAACACATCAAGAGCGTAGCATCCAGAGCATCTTGGAAACTTACTTGAGAAAGCCAAGAGCATTGCATCCAGAGCATCTTGGAAACTTACTTGAAAACATCAAGAGCGTAGCATCCAGAGCATCTTGAAAACTTACTTGAGAAAGTCAAGAGCATTTCATCCAGAGCATCTTGGAGACTTACTTGAAAACATCAAGAGCGTAGCATCCAGAGCTTGTTGGAAACTTACTTGAGAAAGCCAAGAGCATTGCATCCAGAGCATCTTGGAAACTTACTTGAAAACATCAAGAGCGTAGCATCCAGAGCATCTTGGAAACTTACTTGAGAAAGTCAAGAGCATTGCATCCAGAGCATCTTGGAAACTTACTTGAAAACATCAAGAGCGTAGCATCCAGAGCATCTTGGAAACTTACTTGAGAAAGTCAAGAGCATTGCATCCAGAGCATCTTGGAAACTTACTTGAGAAAGTCAAGAGCATTGCATCCAGAGCATCTTGGAAACTTACTTGAAAACTGAAAACATCAAGACCGTAGCATCAAGAGCATCTTGGAAACTTTTTTGAAAACATCAAGAGCGTAGCATCCAGAGCATGTTGGAAACTTACTTGAGAAAGTCAAGAGCATTGCATCAAGAGCATCTTGGAAACTTACTTGAGATCATCAAGACCGTAGCATCAAGAGCATGTTGGAAACTTACTTGAAAACATCAAGGGCGTAGCATCCAGAACATGTTGGAAACTTACTTGAGAAAGTCAAGAGCATTGCATCCAGAGCATCTTGGATACTTACTTGAAAACATCAGGAGCGTAGCATCCAGAGCATGTTGGAAACTTACTTGAAAACATCAAGAGCGTAGCATCCAGAGCATGTTGGAAACTTAATTGAGAAAGTCAAGAGCATTGCATCAAGAGCGTGTTGGAAACTTACTTGAGAATGTCAAAAGCGTAGCATCAAGAGCGTCTGGAAACTTACTTGAAAACATCAAGAGCAAGCATCCAGAGCATGTTGGAAACTTACTTGAGAACGCCAAGAGCATTGCATCAAGAGCGTCTTGGAAACTTACTTGAGATCATCAAGACCATAGCATCAAGAACATCTTGGAAACTTACTTGAAAACATCAAGAGTGTAGCATCCACAGCATGTTGGAAACTTACTTGAGAAAGTCAAGAGCATCAAGAGCGTCTTGGAAACTTACTTGGGATCATCAAGACCGTAGCATCAAGAGCATCTTGGAAACTTATTTGA